CATCCATCCATCCATCCATCATCCATAATCCCCCCATCCATCAATTTATCAAACCTTCTATTCATCCATCCATCTGACATCCATCCAGCCATCAAATATCAATCGTCCACCCGTCCGTCCGTTCATCCATCCATCCACTCCTCCATCTATCCATCCTTTGCTCATCCATCCTTCATCCATCCATGAACCATTGATCAATCATCCATCCATTTATCAAACCATCCATCATTCATACATCTATTCATACATCCATCCACGAACCATCCATCCATCTATCTGTTCATCCATCCATACATCCACTGATGAACCACCAATCAACCATCCATCATCCATCTTAAATCCCCTGTTTTACCTTCTACATCCAGATCCAGTTATAAGACTTTGAATGATGCACAATTAAGATTTCTTTCTTGGAAGATTACTTTACAAATAAAGGTACAATGGAGGGAAGGAACAACAAAAACGTGAACTATGTACATCTAGAAAGGTATTTACAGTGAGGAAAATAAGTATTTGATCACCCTGCTATTTTGCAAGTTCTCCCATTTTGAGATCATGGAGCCGTCTTCTTAGGGCATGTCCACTGCGAAAGAAATAATCTAAGAACTAAAAAATATTTTTATTATTTATTTGCAAGAAACAGCTGTAAAAAAGTTTTTGAATTGCTGTATAATATCTAGAATTCTGACCCTCAAATACCTGTTCGTCTGGCTTCAAAATGTTTACCTCCACTCCATTTATTATCCTAAATAATCTGCACCCTTTTGAGGTCATTGGCTGCTTAAAGACACCTGTCCACCCCATACAATAAGTAAGAATTCAACTACTATGACCAAGACCAAAGAGCTGTCCAAAGAGACTAGAGACAAAATGGTACACCTCCACCTGGCTGGAAAGGGCTGTGGGGAAATTGACAAGCAGCTGAGTGAAAAAAGGTCCACTGTTGGAGCAATCATTAGAAAATGGAAGAAGCTGAACATGACTGTCAATATCCTTCGGACTGGGGCTCCATGGAAAATCTCACCTCGTGGGGTATCAATGGTCCTACGAAAGGTGAGAAATCAACCCAGAATAATAAGGGAGAACCTGGGACCAACGTTTCCAAGGTTACTGTTGGTAATACTCATGGTTTCAAAATCCTGTATGGCATGGAAGGTTCCCGTTAAACCAATGCATGTCGAGGCTCATCTTAAGTTTGCTAATGACCATTAGGAGGATCCAGAGAAGTCATTTGAGAAAGTCAGGTGAGACCAAGATAAAACTTTTTGGTCATAATTCCACTAACTGTGTTTGGAGGAAGAAGAATGATCCCTTCCCTAATGTGAAGCATGGGGTTGGCAGCATCATGCTTTGACTCTTAAGACTCTCAAAGTAAGCAGTTGCATTTTCCCAATGCTGTTATCTCCTTGCTTATCTGTGTGTTGTCTATTCTGAGCCCCTTCTTCATATAATATTATTTCTGAATAAAATTTTGTAAAAATTAAAGGGGTC